AAAAAATCACGTTGATCGGATATTGATAGCTATCTGATCAGATTATTTTTTTTTCAACCGTTAACTATAACACCATCCCTTTTTTTATACAAAACTGATTTGATCATATAGTTATCGATATCCGAACAACATGATTTTTTATAGACATATAGTACTCGACAAGTTCTACATATTCAACGGTTCAGATTATCAAAACGGGACCTGTGATGGACCTCCACGAGCCGAACAACAGCCTACTTTCTTTTGAAATCCACTTTGATCTCTCTAATCTTGCACATGATCTTTTTTCATTCAAAATTCTAACAACAAATAATGGACTAATTTGGTTTGTTTAAAACTAAAGTGTAGGGTTTACGTGATATTTTTTCTAGATATCACACTCATAAAAAAAAACAAAACAAAGTAACCCCTATGTAATGACGTAAAAGGACAAAGACTAGCTTTAAAAAAATCATATAGAGAATATGCATTTAATACTTTGTTGGATAAAATATAAATACACCTATTGAAATTTACTTACAATATGATATAACCCTTTGGTTTTGAAATTTACATTTTGTCCCTCGAAATTTCTAATTTTATAACAAATGACTCTTTTTATTAATAAATCATCAAGTCAATTAATAATTTTTAATAGTATCATAAATTTATTTCTGTTAATAATTCAAATAATTTTATCATTGTATAGGAGAGTAATTAGGAATTTCATTTTTTTGATTAATTATTTTAAATAAAAAATTCTAACAATGGGATATTTATAATTTTTTAAATCACAGGGAACAATATGTATTTTAAGCAAATCTTAGGGGGTGTATTTGTAATTTATCCTTTATTTATTTATTTTTTTGATAAATTACACTGACATTCTCTGAGATTTGATTCAATTACATATTATTTTTGAAATTCTAAAAATTACATTGACACCCTTATGATTAATAGTTCTATTTTATAAATTCCTTACTTATATAAAAGTAATAACTTTTAGTAAAAATAGAAAAAATTACATTAAAAAAAAATAAAGTAAAGAAAAGAAAACAAAAAAAGGAAATAAATAAAAGCAATGAAAGAGAGTGTGTATGAGTTCAATATTTCATTCCGTCTAAATAATTACAATGACAAAGAATTAATATAATTTTTCAAAGAAAAAAGATTAAAAACTCTAAATTAAGAGCTTTAATTGATGTGTGAGTCTAATATGATGTAATATTTTAACCTTAATTTTATTTTTTAATTTTTTACATCATTAATACTCTTTTAAAGAGGGCGGTATCATTTCTCTTTTTCAAACATCATTAAGGTGAGTAACTTTTTCTTTTTTTTTTTTTTTTTTTTTCCTTCCTTTTCTGCGTTTCCTCCCTCCTCTCTTCTTCAACGATTAATAATTTGGAATATATAGGTGTATGTAATGTACACATGCATATATAAGTGTTGGAACAAGCTTAGGTGATGAGTCTATGGTTAAATAGTAGCTTCGATTGTGTAAGCCAATAAAAAGCAATAAGGAATTCTGCATGTTCAACTGATTCCTCAATAACAGAAAAATAAAGGGACTGAATTCTGAATGTGCAATTTTAAAAAAGTTAAATCTGCATCTCACTGAATTTTTATGTGGGTATTGATTGGCTTTTCAGTTTTCTGCAAATAAATTTTCAATGGGTTATCAAAATTTTTTTTTTTGGAAAAGAACAGAGAATGAAATAACTGAAATATAAATATTAAATTGTAATAATTCAAAGAATTACAGAGGCTGTTCAAAGTAGAACATAGTACTTTTCGGAATGCTAAAGAAAATGTGTACCCTTTTAGTTCAATCTTAGCATCATTGATATATCATTTTCAGATATAAGAAATTTTAGTCAATTGCACCATGTCATCACTGTGTTTAACTCTTTCAAGCATCATAAATCCCTTTTTTTGCCTTTATCTCATCAAAATTGGCTACAACTCTTTGATTCTCATTGTGCATGCACTGCGCATGGTTCAAATGTCTTCATATATATATATATATACACATATTGGTTTCTGAGAAGCAGACCTTCTATGGGTATTTCAATTTATAATTTACACGTAATTCATGGGTTAGTTCACATCATACATAATTACAAATATTTAAAGTTTTCTATGTTAGCTTGATCTTTGTTGTGTCATCGCAGAATCATAATGACTTATGCTAAATAAAGCCGTCCAACAACAGACCAAGTGACATATACATCTAGACATCGTTCATCTTGTTTTTATACAATTCATTTTTTTTTTTGCTTTGCAAATCCTTACAGGGGAAATTTGATTCATTCTGAATATGGGGAGTTTCCTTATGAGATTCTTTGTGACATTTTGTTGTTCACTTATTTTCATTGCCTTGGTTTTATCTTTATAATATATTTTACTTGCATTCAGTGATGAAGTGGGGTTTATTCATCCATCCCAGTTTGTCGCGCTCAATGAAGAGGCTGCTGGTTCCCTCCTATCTTCTGTTGGGACTATGCATAGGGTCCTGGGATCCAGAGTATCAAAAGTTAATCCTTCAGAGACAGTTTTTTGGTGTAGAGACCATAAGTTGGGCATCTCAACTCAGGTTCTTCTGCCATTATATAATATGGCAAAACAAACTTTTATGGCTGCACTTGAAAGATACAAGATGCATAGCAACTTATCTGTAAAGAAAGATGAATATGGAAGTGATAGCATGTCAAGTTGGTATGCATCTTCCCTTGATGTCCTTGAAGTTGAAAGTGAAGTTATGAAGCATAGCAGGGCTCTGTTGTTGCTGAGCTGTGATTTTGGCACGGTGTGGAATTCCAGGTCATTCCCTTTCTAATATTTAAGTTGATAACTTTATTTTCTTTTGGTCACTTGTTTTTGTTTGATGCTAACTTTGACTTTTGGAAGTTCGATAGCAATTGTCTTGAAATGCTTATGAGTTGTGTTTCTTCTCAAGTGTCGGTCCATTTTATCTTCTAGTTGACCTGTGCAGTACTTCATTAATACTAGTCTATAGCCACATCTCATGTGGAGATCATTATATATATTTAGGCTCTTATTTATTCTTTTACTTTTGTCATTATTTATCTTATATATAATAGTTAGTGATTGATTTTTTGTAAAATATAAAGTCATTAATTATTAAAATAAAATGTAAAAAACTCAGTTTATAGTGATTTAAAAATATGAAATATATTGGATCATACTTAAAAATTTACAAAAATTAATCAATATTTATTTTTAACCAAATAAATATGATCATAGAAAAAAAATATGCGTATCGATAAGTTTTTTTCAAATTGTGCGAAAAATAAAAAAATTCACGGTTCCGGTTACCGCAACCGTTACACTACGGCCTTTACACCCCGCAACCGCAACCGCGTCACCGCCACCGTTACGGTGACCGCAACCGCTTTTCAGAACCTTGGTTGGGCATCTCAACTCAGGTTCTTCTGCCATTATAAACAAACTTTTATGGCTGCACTTGAAAGATACAAGATGCATAGCAACTTATCTGTAAAGAAAGATGAATATGGAAGTGATAACATGTCAAGTTGGTATGCATCTTCCCTTGATGTCCTTGAAAGTGAAGTTATGAAGCATAGCAGGGCTCTGTTGTTGCTAAGCTGTGATTTTGGCACGGTGTGGAATTCCAGGTCATTCCCTTTCTAATATTTATGTTGATAACTTTATTTTCTTTTGGTCACTCGTTTTTGTTTGATGCTAACTTTGACTTTTGGAAGTTCGATAGCAATTGTCTTGAAATGCTTATGAGTTGTGTTTCTTCTCAAGTGTCGGTCCATTTTATCTTCTAGTTGACCTGTGCAGTACTTCATTAATACTAGTCTATAGTTTAACTTTCTGGTAATTGAAAAATGTTTCGTTGTGCCTGTGATTTACTATCAAGTGATCCAGATTCTATGAAATATGTTATTTATTATCAGTAATTAATCATTTTTTATTACCTACCTGACTTTGCATTCCTTAAAAATAAGACACACACCACTAGGACAAAGGAGATACATCATTGCATACCTTCCAAAGTTTAAGAAGATGAATGCCAAGATTTAGAAATTATGGAACTTCGAGAAAATTTTTGTAGTTTTTTTTGTGGAATAGTAAAGTTTTCAACTCTGTAGTTTTTATTACTGTTCATTCTGATGATTTCTCACTCTCTCTGTTCATCTTCCTCTCAAACTCTTCATCTGCTTCTCTCTCTTGAACTTGGTTTCTTGATATAAAGAGAGATATTTATTGCTTTTACTAAAAGAGAGAATGTAAAGAGTGATGTTTGTGTCTTGTGCTCAAGGTTCTGATCGCCGTAACGGTGGCGGTGACGCGGTTGCGGTTGCAGGGTGTAAAGGCCGTAGTGTAACGGTTGCGGTAACCGGAACCGTGAATTTTTTTATTTTTCGCACAATTTGAAAAAAACTTATCGATACGCATATTTTTTTTCTATGATCATATTTATTTGGTTAAAAATAAATATTGATTAATTTTTGTAAATTTTTAAGTATGATCCAATATATTTCATATTTTTAAATCACTATAAACTGAGTTTTTTACATTTTATATTAATAATTAATGACTTTATATTTTACAAAAAATTAATCACTAACTATTATATATAAGATAAATAATGACAAAAATAAGAGAATAAATAAGAGCCTATATACATATATATATTTTAACCAAGCCAAATAGATAATGACCACACTTATTGTTATTATTGTTTTCAAACAATATATAGATACATACACACAAACAAAATAGTTTAGTAATAGCAGCTGAATAGAATAGCATAGGCCTTATAGTTTCAACAAATCAATAACATATTCTTCATCTTCCCTCTTCTCTCTCTCTCTCTATCTCTTGCTCCTCTATTTTCTCTCTTTATCTTCCCTCTTCTCTCTATCCCTCTTCCCCCATTTTCAGTTTTTTTTTTTTTTTTGTGTTTTTTCGAAAGAAACAGTTTGGAACCGTTACGTAACGGTGCGTAACAGGCCGTTATGGCTGTTACGGCACCGTTACGACCGCTACGGCCGACACACCTGCGAATCTCAATCACACTACAAAAACGGCCGTAACGGGTGGCGGTAACCGTCAAAACCGTTACGTAACGGCGTTACATAACGGTTGCGGCTGCTTTTTAAAGCCTTGCTTGTGCTAGAACCATGTTTTCTCGCTGATGTCATTTGTGATATGATCCTCTGGGATTTGCGTTTTATATATCATCTAGTCTTTATCATGATACCTTTTTATCTGTTGTATGTACCTTGCAGCAAACTGGTTTTGTCAAATAAGCAACATTCTCAGATATTTGTGGATGAACTGTTATTGTCTGCATTGGTTCTCTCATATGCGCCTAAAAGTGAATGCTCTTGGAGCCATAGGTAATGGCAATTTTATTCAAGCGGAGTTGCTTTACACTTAAGTAGGCAATCCTCTGATAAAAGTATTTGTTGTATTAGGCTATTATAGACAACAATATTAGGAACTAATCCAGCTGTTTCAATCTTTTCAAACAATGCCAATGCCTCATCAAGATATTGGTTGTTGCATAGGCCATCCAACAAAGTAGAGTAAGTAAACAGATTAGGAATTTGGCCATAAGTTTGCATCTCATCAAGAAGCAAAAGTGCATCTTGAGGTCTTCTTGTTTGGCACAAGCCACCAATAAGAGTGGTGTAGGTAATAGTATCGGGAAGCAATCCTTTTCGAGACATTTCCTTAAAGCGATTCATGGCTTCATCTATGTTTTTGATCTTACAGTACCCATTTATCAAGATATTATAAGCGAAAACATTAGGAGCACAACCCCTACTGACCATAACATCAAACATTTTCTTTGCCTCATCTACTTGGCCACACAGACAATACCCATCCATTACAGCACTATAAGTGACAACATCAGGCACCACACCTCTTTGGATTATCAATTGAACAACAGCTTGTGCTTTGTTGGCCTTTCCTTCTTTACAAAGTGCATCAACTAAAATGGTAAAAGTTTGAACATTTGGCCAGATATTCTTACCAACCATTTCATTCAACAATCTTATAGCTTCTTTCCACTCACCTAAACAACATACACCTTGAATTAATGACGTGTAAGTGACGACATTTGGTGAAAAACCTTTACCTATCATTTCCGAAAAGAGCTTGAAAGCCTCGGTTACTAGTTTGTCCTTGCAAAGTCTACCGATGATTGTGCTGTATTCCACTAGTCCAGGCTCACAACCTCCTATTTCTTCCATCTTTCTTAGCAAAAGAATAGCAGCACTGGTGTTTCCAATTTTGCATAGTCCATTTATTATAGTGCCGTAAGTAACGAAATTGGGTTGGAACCCGTTCTCCACAATCTCATCAAAAAACTTAACTGCAGAAGCCATGTTACCATTAAGACAAAACCCCTTGATGAGGGTAGTGAAGGTTGTGGTGTCTGGTTCATGACCAAGTTTCAATAGATTCCTGAAAACAGAAAAACCCAAATCAACTCGATTCAAGTTACAGAAACAATTAATCACGATGGTAAGTGTAAACTTATCTGGTTTGATGAAACCAGTTTCTAACAAATTCATTTTCGTAAAAAGAGAAATCACGGTGGAGTAATGCTTCGTTCTTGCAATTGAAGTTAAAAGTTGATTAAATTGAACAATTGATGGCAAAGGTCGCATTCGAAGCATGTGATGAAACTGAGTTAGGGCACCATCATCATCATCAAGATTAGCAAACCCATATTGAAATTGGTCTTCCGCAGAATAGGGATTCAGTAAGATTGTAAGAAAACAACGAAATTGAGAGAAAATACCCTTGGGAAGATGACCACAAACACCATTTCTCAAAACCACAGCAGCATCGGCACTTCTCGCCATTATCATCTCTCTCTCTCTCTCTCTCCTTTCTACAACGCTGAAACGTCGTGTTTCGTCACAAATTTCTCGTTTGTGTTTTCGTATTTCGTTTTCTCTATTTTTCGAAGCAAAAAACAATGACGCGTTAGAACACATGGTTTTTCGCATCATTTTTATTTTAGTAACGATAGAGAGCCGAGAAAACACAACCCCATGACTTTTAAAATAATTTGAATTATTTATGTCACTATCATATAATTTTCAAAAAAAAATTTAAACATATCAATGATTAATGGGTGATTTTATTTACACACCTTAATTACTCTTAGTTCACACCATTATTAATAAATTTTTAATTATAATTTTATCCTTCAATTAAATATCCAAATTGCCCTCATCTCTATTTCATCTCCTTCATCCACAAACCTTAACCTAACCTATTGACAACCACCGTAGGCTGCTGCCACCGCTATCGCCACTACAGCCCCTTGCCTCTGGTCGCCTCCTCTCCACAGCTTTTCTCTCTACTTTCCATCCTCAAACAGCTTCCTAGACGCTGTCGTCCTAACCCTAACATCACTACACACCATTGTCGCTGCTGCCATCACCATCAACCCTCGTCATCGCAACCACCACTAACCTCTCTCCCTAGGCCTGTTGCGCCTTTCCTAGCTCCGTCGTTCACCCCTCTGCCGTTGTACGCCCTTATCTTGCCATCGCGAACAACCCCGCTCCACCTTTTTCCATCACGAACAACTCCCCCACCTACTTTCGCCATCGCGATCCATCTCCCTTACCTCTCCATCACGACTCAACCCTCCTATATCCTGGCCTTCTCCACCACACTGAGAGAGAGAGAGAGAGCCCTAGGGTTTCCAGATCTAGACACTGAAAAAGAAGAGGAAGATAGAAGATGGGCCACAGAGAGAGGTGACAGAGGTGGAGGGGTACAGGGCAGTGGTTGACGGCTGGTGATGGCCAAGGGTTTGGATTTGTGTTAGGGTTAGGGTTAGGGTTAGTTTGAGAAGATAGGGGTAATTTGGTATTATTAAAAAATTAATGGTGTGTATTGATACAAAATTAAAAGTTTTAATTTGTGTATAGTGTGAACTAAGCAAGTGGTGTGTACTGAAAGGATTTGTAGTGTGTAAATAGAATCACCCATGATTAATACATCAGTAGGAGTCGTGAGGATCCTCTTTTATAGAGTCCCAAACATTTTCCTTTTTATTTTGGGTTAACAGTAAATTTCCATGAGAACAAAAGTCTATCAACACAGAATAAAAGTCTACTCTCAATTAAGGATATCAATTAAGGATATGCGCGGTGCGATTCGGGCGATTTGAAAATAACATTATAAATTGAATGGAGGATTAGTAAATTGACAGATTGACAATTATGATTTGAACGGTTTTAGACGGATTGATGGATTGACGCATAATATATAACAATAATTTGTATAATATTTTTCATATATATAATACAAACTAATTTTATATAATATTTTATATATATATATATATATATATATATATAACTACTAATTAATAATAAATTTCACATAAATCTCTCTAACACTCATTTTTACTTTAATATTTCATTATAGGTTAAAAAATATATATGTATTAACTATAGCGGAATAGAACAGTTTTGAAGGCGGATTATAAATTTTAAAGTTAAACCGCAGTTAGCGGATAGAGTGGTATAGATTGATGCAGATCGTTGCAATTTTAATAGATTGAGCGGTATTTTGCACAACCTTACTTTCAATCATGATGTGAGATTGAGATTAAATTTGTATAAAATGTGAGATTTATTTATAGAATAAATTTGAACTACACGATGATAATTTCAAATAACAAAAGTCTGAATAGTATTATTATTTTTTCCTTAAATTATCACCCATTTGCATTTTACTGATAAATTTCAAAACTCAACCGTAATCACTTCAAAAGTATTATCCTTTTATTGTTAATCCCGTTTGTTATAATTCTGTTACACTCTGTTTGATTGAGGGATTTGAAAATAAAAAGAGAAAATGTGTATGAAACTAGGTGAAATATATGTATATTTTATATATTTTTTCTTCTTTTTTTTTTTTTAAATCTCTTCTCAAATCTCCAACCAAACATAGCGTTAGGGATTTATACAAAATCAAATCATATGTAAAATACGTGAAACGTTATTATTTTTTTTTGGGACAATAATGCCTCTATTTGGTTATTCTGTTTGCACTTTGTCACTAAAGATTTAGGAGATAGTACAAATGGAATCACTAGATAAAGATATTATTGTCTTAACAAATTAATAACATGTATTATTGTTCTTAGAAAATTAAGAAGTGAAGCGCATGGCCTAACATAGGTTAAATCACGGGATAGAATCCTAACAAAAGATATTTAATAAGATAATAATTCGAGGAGGTTAACTATTGTAGGCAAAGTACAAATGAATCATAATTGGGTGAATTACACTAACGGTTTCTGTAGTTTGGAACTTGTGTCACTTTGGTTCTCGACTTTTCAATTGTGATACATTTGACCCTACATTTTGAATCTTGTTTCAAATACGGACAATTGAAAATACCATTACTCAATTTCAAAATTTAAGTTGTCTATTTGATAAAATATAAACTAATTTGACAAAAATAAATGTCAAAAAAATATTTTTGAATTTTTAAAAACTATTTCTATCCACCAAAGATAAAATTATGTAAAATTGATAAATCTTTTACACATTTATTTATTTATTTATTTTATCAAATTGATTTTTATTATGTGTTTAGATGATAATCATGTAACAGATGGTTGTTTTTATTTTCATTAAATTAGTTTCTATTTTTTTTCCAAAACTCAAATATAGCGACCACTTTGATATCATTATTAAACCAAAAAATTCAAAACTAAAAATATTTCATATATTAAACATATTGATTACACATTAAAAGCCTAACAACCACACATTACATCATAAAATATATTAACAAATAGTGAAAGTGTGTGGTAGTGGGTTGACAGCTACAAATGCACTATTATGTATATTGGGTTTACAGCTAGAAATGCACTATGATGTATATTATATGTTAATATTATATGTTAACAGCCCCCCGCAAGCTCAAGGAGGGTAGGCATCGACCAAGTTGAGTTTGGAAATAAGATCACGGAAGCGTCCAGGAGGATGAGCCTTGGTGAAAATATCAGCAGGTTGATCGGCAGAAGCAATAGGGAGAAGATGAACAGTACCACGTGTAACATGCTGGTGAATGAAATGACAATCGATCTCAATATGCTTGGTGCGATCATGAAACACATCATTGTGAGCAATCTGAATGGCACTTTGATTGTCACAGTAAAGAGAGGTAGCGCCTGAAGAGGAAACACCCATATCAGTGAGGAGCCAGCGAAGCCAGAGAAGTTCCTGAGTAGTATCAGCAAGAGCCCGGTATTCAGTTTCAGTACTAGAACGGGCAGTGAGGGATTGTTTCTTGCTACGCCAAGTAAGAAGAGAATCCCCTAAGAAGAAACAGAATCCCGTGGTGGAGCGTCGATCCGTAGGATCCCCAGCCCAATCAGCATCAGAAAAGGCACGCAGTTCAAGGGAGGAGGAAGCAGAGTAGTGAAGACCGTGGAACAGAGTGCCTTTGAGATATCGAAGGAAGTGGAGGAGAGCAGTATAGTGGGCGTGCGAGGAGCCGACATGTACTGACTAACAATGTGAACAGCATAAGCAATGTTAGGACGAGTCACTGTGAGATAGACAAGACTGCCGACGAGCTGGCGATAAAGAGTAGCATCCGGGAGGAGAGCCCCATCGAGAGGAGTGAGGTGAATCTGAGGATCAACTGGAGTAGATGTAGTTTTGCAATCGGTAAGACCAGCACGAGCCAGAATATCAGAGGCATATTTGGCCTGAGATAAATAAGAGCCAGTAGAATCATGAGAGCCTTCAAGGCCTAAAAAGTAGTTAAGAGTACCAAGGTCCTTCATCTCAAACTGACAGTGGAGAAAACGTTTAAGGTGGAGAATACCAGCTGCATCATTACCAGTTATAATCATATCATCCACATACAGAAGGAGAAGAGTGGTACCATGAGGAGTAGTCCGTAAAGAAAATATAGTTGAACTGGAGGTCATATGATTACAACAGGCAGAATCAAAATACCAAGAAGAGTTACCTGGAATTACAGACAAAGCAGTATGAGGAAGTGTACCAGAAGGGGAGAGATGGTAAAACTGAACTTAGCAAACCAAGCTCGGGGTGCTTGCTTGAGGCCATAGAGGGCACGCTGTAGTTTGCAAACCTTTTGAGGGGGAAAAGTAGACCCAGGTGGAGGTTGCATGTAGACCTCCTCAAGAAGATTACCATTGAGGAAGGCATTTTTGACATCCATTTGAAAAAGCTCCCAGTGGCGAGCAGCAGCAACAGCCAGTAAACTGCGAACAGAGGTAAGCCGAGCAACAGGAGCGAAGGTTTCCTCATAATCAATCCCATATTCCTGGTTGAAACCTTTGGCAACAAGACGAGCTTTGTAGCGTTCAATAGAGCCATCAGAATGAGTCTTGATTTTGTAAACCCATTTGCAGCCAATCGCAGTTTTGCTAGGAGGAAGATCAACAAGATCCCAAGTATGAGTTTTGTCCAAAGCTTGAAGTTCATCAGTCATAGCTTGCTACCAAAGAGGATTAGTACAAGCCTCATGATAGGAGGAAGGTTCATAAGTAGAAAAGGTAGCAGACCCAACAATATAATCACGAAGGTGGATAGGAGGTTGAGTTACCCGGTGTGGTCGACCCGTAGGAGGATCGGTGGGAGGAAGAACTAGTTGAGAAGAAGGTGGTGCAGGGAGAGGTGGACCTTCAGAGAGAGCAGGCGGGTCGGGAGCAGGAGGTAGCAAGGGCGTCTCAATGAAGGAGGAACCTGTATCAAAATCATCAGAGAAGAGATCAATGGAAGGATTAGTAAATAGTACATCAGTGGAAAGTACATGTAAGTGAAAGGAGGATAGGGAGGAAAACATTTTGTGCTCCCAAAAAACGACATGGCGGGAGATACGAAGACGTTTAGAGAGAGGGTCCCAACAGCGAAAACCTTTATGTTCAATTCCATACCCAAGAAAGCAACAAAGACGAGAACGAGG